TATAATAATTAAATTAAATATATATATATACTATTTTATATTGATTTCGAATTAAATTGAATATACTAACCCATAAAAAAAAAGTCAACTAGAATCAACGTATCATATCAAAGTTTCGTATAATCTCCTCCCCTCACCCTGCCCCTGCCCATCCCCTATTCTGCACCAGCCCCCAAAAAAATAAGATCATTTTAAAGTCATTTAAATCCCGATGAATTATTTAATAGTACTAATAGAGGACCGCAGTTTCATTGATAACGTAATGCACTGATCTGAAAATAATTCAAGACGTACGTTCGGCACGTGCGTATGTCGGGTGATCGTCCAAAGGCGTCGCGTGTGACGATGGAAATAAATAAAAAAAAAATCCCCCATAAGGGGTGATTTTTTCGGACCTCCTTTCTTTATTATTTTTTTTGTTAACCTATACTTTGTCAAAAACCTATTCGAGTGGATCCTTGATACGATACAAATTGATTGCCACATCGACAAAAAAAATATAATATAAAAATATAAATATAAATAAGTAAGACTCGTGTATTAATTTTTCTATAGAAATATAAATGAATATATAAAATAATTCTACTCTATAATCTTTTTGACAAGGTGTCCCATAAGATTCATACGCATACAAATAAACGTAATTTCCAAAATTTGGATCTTCTTCCAGATCACACAGTGTTTCTATTCGAATTTAAAACAAAAAGAAATGACATATAAGTGTTTGGAAAAAGTATCAATGCGAACGATAAAATATGTTCTTCCCTTTTGAAGGAAAAAAAAAAAAAAATAGAATCACACCCTACGTGCTTTTCACTGCCGACGGGGGTTGAACTATTTTGTAGCGGTTTCCCACAGGGCTGCGTTTAACTTGTGGCTCAATTTGAACGCGTGACAATGAATAAAATTCGTGGTATTAATGTCGGCGTTGCTTATCGAATGCTATTACATTTTTTTTCTTTTTTCTATGAACGACTGATGGTCGACATTAATACGTTTTTCAACTATTTTTACGTTTGGTCGAGGGACAATATACTGAAATGTCATTTTCAAAACGGGCGTGTACATCTACGAAAAATAGAAATAACAAAATATAAAGTACTATCGTTAAACGAGACATTAAATCATCGTGATCATGATTTATGATACTAACAACGGATCTGCATTTGTCCATATACACGGTGTATCAATTATTTTCGATTTAAATATAAAACAATTATTTTACATGCATAAATATTGTTCAGATAACAAATCGTGAATTATAAATAATTATAAACTCATCTATTTTTATCTATAAAAATAAAATGATTTGAATTGTTTTCAATTCTTTAAAAAAACTTAACAAAACTTATATTCTTTATCCCATCTTTTTGAAATAAAATAAAACAACAGACGCAAACAATCGGTTAAAGAATAGAAGAATAAGATGAAAGATGGATAAAAGAATAATCATGATTAGGTATGAAGTGAAAATCCTTGGAACGTGATTTCCTCGTGAAATCGAGTTTGTACATAGGAGGAAAGTTCTAGGAAATGAGGGCGTGTCGATAGAAAAGAGGCGTGTCCCAGTTGGTTTGCGCAGTGTCCCATGAACATCGGTGTGCGTTCGAACAGAATCCCCATACTGCTGGTATGGATTGTACCAAGAAGAGAAGGATGGAAGATAGAGATAGTAGATCCCGAGCAAGAGGGGTATAAGGGTGAAATCAATTTTCGTTATCGTCGTCAACCAGACACCCCATATTAATTCCGTTAGCTGGTGTTTGCCTTTTCATGTGTGCCCCTCTCTCTTACAACCACCGGATACAGGCCTTAGCTACTTCGAATAGAGATTTGAAAGATAATAACAATTATTGTTATTATTATTACTGATTGTTATACTACCTAAAATAATTATAATAATTATAATAGTCATACTAATAGTAAAAAACACAGCGCTGAGTTTATAGATAAAACTTACCCTTAATTCGTTTATATTAAAATGACTCCTTTCATTTATAATACTTCAAAAGCACGTGTAATTTCGTAACACCGATTCTACACTCAATGCATATTGATAAAAATGAATGAAAATATTAATAATAAAGTAATTTATTTAATATTATTCGCATTTGTAAGCTGTTTCTTATTAATTTCTTATTTTTTAAAAAATTCAAATTCAAATTAGCAAACGGCAGCCATTTTTCTTTTACCCGATACGTCATCGGGGCGCGAAATTCAAATTGAATTCTCGGTGAATTTTGTTATCATAGATGATAGATAGAAACTTCTCTGCAATCGTCCTTATCTTTAGTGATTATTTGGAACTAGTACGTAAGATAAGAAAAAGAAGATAACGTTTATAATTATTAAATCATATTACGATAACTCGGTATTTATAATTATGCAATTATTTGATTCTCGATATTTTATCATCTTTTATCAACTAACTATATTCGTCTATGTAATTCTTATCTTATGAAAAAACATTTTTAATCTTATTTAATCTTATGTTAATTAATATAATAAAATATTTAAATATATAAATATATTTGTTTCAATTAATTTTTCATTATGCATCGTTGATATTTGTTTCCTGCTTAAATAACAAATAAAAGTATTTTTTATAGATTTAGTTTTGTTTGCTTAAAAAACATTTGAATGTTATATGTAAAAAAAAATTACAGATAAATAGAAAAATTCACAAGAAAACTAAAACTATGAGTGAGTTATATTAATAACTGTACACATAAGTAAATATTAACATTATTTCTAAAATAATTATCATTTGTATATTTTTAATAAAATCACACAAGATTCCATACAAGATGAAATTCCAACACAAACGGAAGTCAATCTTCGCCTTGGCTTACCATTAGCTGAAACACTATTTGTCTATGATCATGATGAAATAAAAAAATTATTAGGATTATCACCACCGTTGAAATCTATATCTGGAGATCTCTGGATTTCACCAAGTGCACAAATGAACAAAAAAGTTTTAAGCTTACCGGAAAATAATAACATAATTAAAGAATGTACACACTTAGGAATACTTGGTAATAGTAAAACTGTTAGATGTTATTAAAATGAACATACTCTGTGTAAAAAATATATAATCAGCCTTAGGAAAAGATCTGCTGAATAAATTAAAAATAGAAATTGAATCTAACGTAAGGAAAGATTTTGAAAATCAATTAATCGATCAAAAATATTTATGCGAAGCTGAAAAGCGTTATGCAATTAAAATTAATACGAAAGAAATCCATACGATATGGCAGAAATATCTTAATACCATAGAATATGATATACGTAAAGAATTACAGGTGAACGATTTTAATTTCTATATATATATGTTAATGAATAATATATCTAATAGTATAATACGATGACTCTACTAACAGATTGAACTTGCAAAAGTTATTCTTAAATGTAATAAAGAAATACAAAAAGCAGTGATACAACAACGCATTGACATGACGCAACATATGTTGAGCAAAGTACGTAAAGAAATGTCTTACATGGTGGACGATCTTTACAAAGAATTTGAACAAACTCGCAGATTACATATAGAAAATATAATAGCGGATGTTAATGAGATTTTAAGGTATTTTTACCAAAAGATTCATCTATTATCCTCCTTAATAGTAAACCTTGATTTCTCTATTTATTTTTCCTAACATAGGAAGGAACGTATAAAAAACAATAAAAAAATCGAAAAGCTAAAAAAGGAAAAAACAGAATCGTTACATGCTCAAAAAGGAAAACTTGAAACTAAAAACGTAGCTAATATCATGTATTTGCTTTGCCTTGAGAAATTACGTTCTAATTTAGAAAAACGGAAAATACAAAATCACTTTGAGGTACATCGAACTGATACATATTTAATTTTGCGAGCAAAGATACTATTATCTATTTAAATATATTTGTTTATTTTTAGAAGAAACTTTGTAATTTGCAAAACCTAACTTCGAATTTAAAGAAAATGTTGAGTACAGCCGAAGAAACTATTGAAACATATCAAAACGATAATAAATTGTTAAAAAACAAATTTGATAATATTAATCAAGAATTTCATAAGTTTGTAGCTTTTGTATTTAATACTGTACCAAAGCAAGCCGAATTTGTATTACCTTTGGAATCTGTTTGTTTGCAACAAATGAATAAGACTTTGAATGAAAAACTGAATAGACGTAATGCTATTTGTCAAAATGCACTGGTTGAAAAATAAAATTGATAATTATTGAATATTAGAATAAAATTAATAGTACTCAATAAGTCAATAAATCATTGAAATTTTTTGGATTAGTTGTTTGGCAATTTTGATACCAGTCTGGGTCTCGTTGTAGACAAGATGCGGTCCGCTGATAAAATTGAGCCTGTATAACGGATTTGGCAGCAAATTTACTGGGGGGAGGTAAATTATAATCTTTGAGACGCCATCCGTAAAGCCAACTCGTACAATCAGGAAAATAAAAACGATCTTCTGGTAATTTCTGTAATCTAGAAAAATCAAACTTCTTTTTTAATCGTTCTATCAAACAGTAGCCTATAAATAATAAGATGCTCATTGATCTATTAATTAACCTTTTATGAAAATAATTATCTCTGGAAATAAAACTTTCAATTCCTTTTTCATAAAGAATAGCACGTATTTCTGGTTCAATTGGTTTCATTATATTGAGATTCACAGAACCATCGATATTAGGTGGCTTCCATGTCGGCATGTATTTTTTACTTATCTGTAATAATATGGCAAAGTACAAATGTAAATTACAATTATACAAATGTACATAATCTTTGTATAAAAGATCAATCGATACAAAACTTTTAGCTCAATCTTATTATCTTTTTTCGGTGCTTTTTTTTCTAGACTTTTTATTTGAATTCGTGCTGTACTCTTTGTAGTAATACCTAAATTATCAATTAGTTTTTGTTGATTTTTTAAAAACCATTTCATTCGTAAGAATTCTTCTTTCCTGTAATTCTCTCTGTGGAATAACTGACATCGATTGTCGCACATATTGTTAAATATTCTTCTATCAAATTATTTTCATATTAAATTTATATATGTAGATCTCTTATGTAAGAAATTTCATTAGTATAAATATTTATAAAAGTGCAATTTAAAATACGATCATGTCAAACTAAACTAATCTACTACTATACATGTTTAAAGCATATTCATAGTATTGCGATACTCTGATGTTTTTCATTCTTACATCAAATTATTTACTATTAACATAAGGAATAAGGAACCGACAAAAAATATTTTTATACAAACGTATACTTTGTAGAATAATATATTTACACTGTTAGAGAATTAATATTTTGTTGCTTTATATTAATCAAATTGTGTACTTGTAAATTAACATTTTGTTCATTTATGTTAATTAATAATACCAATGGTGATATATACTCTATATACAGTTTTTTTTTAATAATAAACCGTCAACTTTATATAGATGTCAAATGTTCATTTGAAATTAATTTCAAAATATATATATTCCAAGTAATTTACTCGCTACTGACCAAAAATTGTACCGTTGATAATTAAAAGTTGTCAAGACAAATAATACAAAAAACGTACCAAAAGAATTTACTCGATGTTACAACACTTGGTTCGATTGATCTTGGTTATTGTTCTATAAAATATATTTTGAATATCACTAGAATTACTTACATTATTCGCCCAAATATTTTACTTTAAGTGTATACACACGCATATACACTTAAAATGTTGTGCATAACACACGCAAGTTTAGATGCACGTACAAAAGAAATTTTAAAAAGAAACTTTTTTTCCTGTTGTAATACAATAAATTCTGTAAAATAAAATCCTTTAGTAGCACTTAAAAAAGAATACAAATAAATGATGCGATATCGAAGTTTATCTTTTAAACTGACTTTGATAATTAATGAACAGAAGATATATATACATATATATATATATATATATCTTCCAACTGAGCCTCGTTACAAACTGAGTCGCATGAAATATGACTATCGCTTTGAAATATAAACTAAATATGAATATGTTATGGTTGTAAATATGCGTCAGGAAAAGAATACAGCAATATTTTGTATTATTGCGCTCTGTCTGTACTTCAGCATTGCTAGATGATATTTCCATTTTTCTATATTTGACAGTATTTCCGAACATCAAGTGGCCTAATTGATAACAATGCATAATAGTACTGTGCTCTATATTAGATACGTATGGCGTGAAATATGAGTTTTCACATGATATTACTCTCTCTGAAAGTCAACATCAAATGACCCAGTAATCACAGCCATAGGAAGCAATATTGCGCTATATTTCAGGATTTATATGCATATACTGATTGATTTATATTACATCTGACTAAGGAGCATTTTATATCATTTGTACTTGGATAATCAAGATGAAACATATATAATGCTATACAACTAACAATTCCTCTGCTCCTATACTGTCCTTTTATGCTGTACACACTTAATGTTATTAATGTATTACTTATCTACACTCGCCTATAAAATAACCAATTTACAACACTCCTAATTGGTCTAGGTTTTAATGTAGCAAAGCGTTTCATTGACAATTTGAATGCAAGTTATTCATTATAACTGTCGAGTGTTCATTTCAGAAACAAATTAATTAACTTTATTCATATAAAAAAAAACATCATTTTAATCATTGATTAATAATTAATTATTGCGTTAATTTACGAAAAAATGTAACAAAAAAGAAAAAAGGAACCTTGCTTGTAATTCTAGTTTGGTAACGTAGAGTTATATCGTCTATAAAACTTTACTTATCTATTCCAAATTTTGAACACTATGCGTATATCATTTTATTTTTTTAGGATTTCCTTGCATCCACTCCATCATCGCTTTTTTCTTAAAATTGTTAAGTTTATATATATATTACAGTTTTAATATAGGCTGCGATCTTACATATACATTAAATGTATGCTTTAATTAACTATTCAAGTGGAGTATGTGCATTTTGATAATCTATTATTTATGCTAAATATTAATTAAAGAATTTAACTCGTTTTGTTTACTAAAAACGCTTTACCTCTAATTTCTTTAAAATAAGTTAAATCATTTAACTTAATACAATAACTACCCAAAGTAAATAGTACTTTTCCCAAAACACGTATAATGTACATTACATAATGTACATTGCATAATTTACATTTTATAAATAATAAACGAAATAACGAATAATGTAATAATAAAAAGAATTAATGAGGTCAGTTATATATACACAAAATAAAATTCTAAAATCAATTCAACTTATTCCATGAATAATTATTATATAAAATTCAAGATTATAATACTCCATCTGAACAGTAGAATAATAGAAGAAATACAACTCTTTATATCTTTTATACAAATAGTATGGCAGCCAGAAACATAATATTTATCAAAACATTTCGTAGATTGTTATCGTTATAAAGTGTAATAATATTACTAGAGTTTAATGCACGGTGTTCAAAATATTTAAAAAGTTCCAATCCAAGTTTCTGCTTTAGATAAAACAAATAATGTAATCTTCGAGGACAGTCAACTGTTGCAAATTTTGAATCCATTCGACTTACAATTAGAAGTGAATAATAATTGCTAAAAAATAATAATTAATAATTTGTGTTTATCTGTTAGTACATGTTAATAAGAATTCAGTAATATCATTTCTGTTTTAGTAGAGTCTGTTCACTTTGACTTAATAATATTTTATATGTCAGTTTTCAGTCCATGTTGATAGTGATAAACACATAATAATGCGTTAATGACAAGTGATTTCATAATATACTATTTACTAATAATAAACTCTTGAAATATATAAAAATGGGCTCTCATTTGGCCTTATTTGAACAGTTTATCAATATAAACAGTTGTTTTTGTATTTTCAAACATACCTAACTTCTCGCTTTTATTAATACACCAGTGTGAGCATTATTCTGAAAGTATAATCCTGTTCCTTGGAAACTACTACTTCTGGAGGTAGAGAGTTGACTTTGATTTAAACCACTTAAGGAATTTTCATCCACGTCTTTGCTAAGTCCATCTTCTTGTTTGCTTCGTAATATATACTTAAAAAATTCGTATCTGAACAAGAACAAAATTAACATAACAATTAAATATCTTTTATATCAATTACATGGAAATAAATAAATAATTCTCTTACGTCGTCCAACAAATAGCAGTGGCTGGCATTTGATAAAGAACACGAGCATTCATCCCACGACAAAATCCTTTTATTCCTCCCAACCTGTAAACTTCTTTAACAGCATCAATCATACCTTTTGCTTTTACACCATCTTGTTGTGTATTCAATAATGTTTTACAAACATCTAACGGCGTTGTCAACCCAGCTGCTATAGCTCCAGCCATAGCACCTGTTATTGAATATACAAATTAATATTGTCTAAGATATATATATATAAATTAGATAAATAACAAAATGTATATATATATACACACATACCAGAAATCATATGTGCTTGTGGATTATAAGAATGATTTGGATTTGTCAAAGATTGTGCTAACTCATAAGACATAAAATGAATGCTTTGGAAAGGCACGTTCATAGCCAACTGAGTCGTGTAACTTCTGTAGAATGCACGTATACCTTCTCTTTTATATACAAGTTTTATACAGCTGATAACATTTCTATAAGGAGAATTATACATTTGCAACCGTTGTTTAATCACTGTAACAAGTATAATGAGAATAATTAAGTATAATAGAGCGTGTTAGGTAAATTATCTCATTCTATATAGACAATAAAAAAAGCATGTGCATACACAGGCATGCTTAGGCTTGTATATACACATATATATCTAACCTTCAGCTGGATTCATAACACCATCATGAAGAATTGTTGATACACAACCAGCTGCACCATATACGAAATGATTAAATTGTGGCTTAGCGCTCATAAATTTATCTTTTAAAAATTCATAGCAAGAAAAGTATAAAGCATGTGCTGGTCCAGCTCCAGCAACCACTGCTCCCATTCCACGAAATGGCCTTAACAAACCCTCATTTCGCATCATTTGAAGGAGTACATTTCCTACTCCTCCTCCTCCGCCTGGGCCTGGAATCAATGCCTGCATTCTGGTCTAAAAAATATTCGTTTATTATGAATACATTTCCATATTAATATTTCAAAGTATACATTCAAAATAAATATATTCATTTGTTTAAAAAAAGCGATGTAATAAAAATCACAAATTAAGATTTCTTGATTGAAATTAAAATTTCAAGATAACGTAACCGTATACATAGATAATACTTAATGACTGAAGAGTTTTAAATAACATGACTGGCAGATACGTGCAAGTAATAGTTATCAATCCTTGATTCAAAAAATAAAGCATTTTACAAATTTCTCTTTGTCGTATGTTATATGTTGTAATTCTCTTTAACTAATTTCAAATTAAATATCATTGACAAAAATATATCAGTGAAATTTTTTTAAATAAATAGAAAAATATAACCAAATAAAAGCACACAATGTTTGTCAAAGAGAAGTACAATACCTATTATAACCTATCTGTTATGAGCAATAACAATGATCTGCATTAACGTCAAATTTAACCTACATAACAATCCTGTGTTTTTTAAACGATAACTAATCTCATACATTATTATTAATGAATGTTATTTTAAATATTATCACTAATGGTTAAACAAACTGAAGCAGAGTTTGTAAGCTAAAAACCAGATCAGAAATAGATCTACTGCAATAAACTGACAGGCTATGTTACATAATGATTACTGGGTTGATAGACCCTCAATGAAATTCTTATATATCTTATCGTTATAATTTATCTTTCAAAATTACCTCTATATGTAATTTTACATAGATATTTTTAGTAATTGGACAAATTAAAACGAGTGGCGTGAATTATGTAAAATATAAAAACATATGTAAATAACTTTGATTAACATATTAGATCCAATTAATTCTAAGTTAAAATATATGCAATTTAACTAAATAATTATATTTATGCTTATATGTTATTTGTTTACAAACAAAAAGAAGATAATAGACTTTGAATTCTTGATATTTGTTAGATCTTCGACGTTGAAAGCAAATAATAGGTTACATCAAAATAATATATAATCGAATTTGCAATCCAATAATGTTAATTATAACTTTATATGCAAGATAGAGAAGAAATCGAAAAAAGTTTTCTTTTACCTTACATAATCTACTAGACATAATAAGAATTTTAAAAACGGTAATTCAAATTACAATGCATACATCCATGCATAATATCTTTCTTTTATGACAATAAATTTCTGCAAAATAAAAAGATATGAGAAAGTTTACTTTGTAAGGCGTCTAATGGAATGTTTTATTATATTTAAATAATGATAACACTGGAAACGTTTAAAGTACGTTCCAAGAAAATATGGAGTAGAACGTTATGAGAAAACACATGTCTGCATGATGATCTTCGTTACAATTATTTTTTCATTTAAATACGATTATAATAAAGATAAATGCCTATGAATAATCAAAAGTCTTTTAAGTTATCTTTTCTCAATTAATCTTCTTGCATGACAAGTATCGAAAGCCGAGATAGAAGTGCATACATTGAGGTTATGTAAAAGATAGTCTCTGAGAGGGAAAAAACGTGGAGCAAATATACGACTACTTTACCTTGACACTGTCAACTGGATACATGATGCAATGTTCCATGATCCCAGCAAAAGCACCGGCCGTCATGTTAACACCCACCGATGTAGTGGGCAAGCTTTCGTAATCTTCAATATTCATATTCTTAAAATGCAAATACCCAACCGCGATGATCTTTCCTGGGCTTTTCGCTCGTGCCGCGGTATTACCGCACTATCCACTGAACCTACTCTCCCTCTCCGTCTCTTTTCTTCTCTCTTCTCTCTCTCGCCCTTTCTTTCTCTCTCCCTCTCTCCCTCTCTCCCTCTTTATCTTTCTCTCTCTCTCACACACACTCTCTCTTATACTCTTTCTTACGCGCAAATTCCTTCTCTCATACATACACTCTGTTAATACTTGTTTTCTTTGTCTCGTTCTTGCTCTCTCTAACAATAAGATTTACAACGAGAAACGAATTGAGTTTTCCATTGTAACACTATACACACAAAAAGATCGTTTAAACCTTGAAAAACGTGGACACTTTTCGCGCGTTATCTTGCGCTCATCCTGCTTATAGTCGGCCTTGCCATTTTCGGCTCCGTGGAGGGGAAAAAACGAAGATAATAGGTCGTATAAAATTGTCGATAAATTAAATAATCTATTCGTACACTCGTATTCGTTGATCGTATCTTAATGAGACCACGTCAAAATCGAAAAGGCTACTCTACCCTTGAATATTCGAATTCGTAATGTTACAATTCCCTCTTCGCGCATTGAAATCGCATGAAAATCTACGAAGCATCCAATAAATCAAGATAAATGTATGATAAGAAAAGAAAAACGTATCTCTACGAAAATTATTCGTAAAAAGCCGATAGATCTAACGCTGCTCTACCTCCTTCGTTACACTCAACACGATCGTAAATGATCGCTGATCGTTAAGTTAGTGAGGTTAGGTACGAGCACGTGCCGCGCATGCGTCGTGCTCAACCACGTGGTCGTGACACGTGAGCCACCAGTGGTAGGAAGAGAGAAGGAAAAACAAGATGGAGGCAGAGATTCTTCTCTCTCTCTCTCTCTCTCTTTCGTGGTTACGAATATATATACATATGTATACGTATATGCTATATAATAAACATGAGCAAGCAGAGAAAGAAGCATGTGCATCATATATATATATATATATTTATCCTTCCTGACTTCTTCAAAGGATAGAGGACGCTTGTCCGTGTCTACAAACTCGCGGTCAATAACTGCGTAGAATTCTTTTCATATTCCATTACTTTTTATAAATTCGTCTTTATTGGAATCCTGCTTTTTCCTTTATATATGTATGTGTACGTATATACATGTATATGCTATTCTTTTCCGTAATCAATCGTAACTACCGGTAATCAAAGATGCTTATTATCCAATCTGACGATTTGTCTGACTCATATAGACAAACAAATGGCGTAATAGGGAATATACTTCATTTGGAAAAACCTACGATGTCATTCTCCATACATTTTAATGAAGAATTTAAACTAATTTCTCGCTCTTTTTAGTTTAGTCATTATCGTATTATTGTCACCTTTTTTTTTGAGCAACGTGTTGAAATTTAGAATATATTTTCTTATTGTTTTTTTTTTTTTATTATCGTATAAAATACGTGTAATTAAAACTTTATTACACACCCTTGATCTTGTTCTTTAAATAGTTGCTTATTAATACTGTCTATATAATCTATCTATAATGATCGAATATTATATAATATTCTTCTTCGAAACCACAAGACAACATATCAAAGTGTAGTGTGTCTTGATTAATTGTTTTATTTTATTATTTGCTGATAAGATTACGTTTAAAATGATATTTAATATTTCTACACGCTGCTAGATATACACCATCAGATACAATTAGGTTTACGTAAAATTATTGATAATATAAACACAATCATGTGTTTGTCATTGACATGAGAGATAAAAAAAAACAAACGTCATTTTTTTTCTCCTATTTAGAGTTGCTCAGATTGCCCTTGTATGGATATATGTATGTATGTATATTTATATGATGCATCATATGTATTATTAGCTCTTTCATAAAGATATAATGCATTTAAGAGTTTCTCACAATTACAAAAGAAAATAATACTTTTTTATAAGTATCACTTATTATAACATAATATTGCATTTTTAACATTGACTACATAAATATATACATATGCAAATACATAATTTATTAATACATTTTTTATTCGCATTGAATATAAATTTATAAAAAGTTAATTATGTGATAATAATACTCTCCATTTAATTTTATTCGTAAATTAACATAAATCAAAATAATCTATATTCATATACGAAAAAATAAAAGATAACAATTACCAATTTCAATTTTTCCTTACTTTTTATTCTTTTTTATTTTATTTTATTTCACTCTTTCAGAAGTACGGTGCAATGTTATTAATGTTTCTATTTATATGGATATATTATTAAGATTGAAATGCTAATAATTTATAGAAAAACAATTTTTATATACACACATATATGCACAATTTAATTTTAACATGATCTTGGAATACCATAAAATATATCTAAGGAATAAAAAGACAGATAGTTTGACTGCATATAGAAAATTCGCTTTATTTTAAGAGCGATTATGTTAATAAGAGACATTATAAATTTTGGAAGTGACTATTGATTTATAAATTGGAATGAATAGCTGATAAATTTGAAAAAAGATTTACAATTTTAATT